TTCTCATTTTTATGGCCTGTGAGTGTACATGGCATCTGGAGAGTAATTTTTCAAGTTAGAATTCTCGAAAATTGCTCATATTAAATTGGTCAACTTCTCAACAACAGACAAGAATGTGATATTCAATATATTTGGTTGATGATGCACATCAGTTTGTTTCAATATAAATGACACCCATTCCACCCCTCCCTCTCAAAATAAGTCCAGACCATCACCCATATATACAAATGATAGAATATATATAAAATGAAAAATACAAGTGTGTTGTTAAATGTATTATGACATTATCTTTTACCTCATATCTGGGCCATCATCTGTTTCTGTGTCTGTGCTGTTTGTGAAGAAATATATTGCAATGGTGCATGCCAGGTCAATACCACCAATGCGGCAAGTTCGTAGGAACATGTGTGCCACATTGATGTCTGAATCAATTGACTTCTACTTGCTACGCGGTTGGGTTTATGATGACCTGAAGATTTCAATGATTTTTGGTTAGTAGATTAACTCAGTTTTGTGACGCTAATGTTGGTTTCGTATTTGAATAGTTCAATTCTTCATTAAACCAGCTATTCGGAGCTGGTACACATACAGTATTATGTTATTCCTGCATTTTTCATAATCTCACTACAAGTCTATCAATTTACAAAATAATTATTTTTCGAGACATGATTGAGGCTGAAATAATTTATAAATTTGCTTACATTTACATGTTTGTGAATATTAATAAACATGTTTGTTTGGTTTTGTGAAAGTACCTTGTTCGTAAATAACAATGATGACCGACTGGCGTTATTATTAAATTCACTAAGCTAAAATGATCTCACATACACTCGAGAGTAAATTCACAGGGTTAATTAATACTTGTGCCAAATTATAACAATATATAATTAACGTATTTTAACGTAACTGACATTACTAACTAGAATGTTCACAATACCTAACATGTGGGTTCTTAGTCCCTAAAGTCATAACCTTGACTTGATCACATGACCACATTCCAGAGGCCATCACAATAATTACATGTACAATACAGCTAAAACAAGTCATTGAAAATGACAGTCCCTGTCAAAATTTTTGAAAGTTCTCTTTGTGCTCGTCATATTAAAGCAGAGGGGTTGTTGCGAGTGTGTCCTTGAAAGTTCCAAGTGGCGTATACAACAGATTGTTTATTTACATCAAAACATGTGTTCCGTGGCCAAAAATAAAAACTGCCGTTATTCGGCCATCATTGATCTGATTATGAAACACACTGATATGTATGATGTATGTGCCAAATACGAATGAAAATGGTACATAAATTGTGGAAATATAGTAGTAAGGCCAAAAAGTCAGATGGCTGACTTTCGGCCATCCTTGACCAGAATTTGAAACAAATTGTCATGGACATGCATCCTAACATGTATAAAGTACATGTATGTGCCAAATTTGAATGAAAACTGACAGAGCACATCCAAGATACCGCATAAAAAAACAAAAACAAGATGCCTGCCAGTTGACCATCTTTGACCCAATTGCGAAATAAATCGTCATGGACATGTATCCTAACATGTATAATCGATGTACCAAGTTTGAATGACAACTGACAAAGCATGTCCAAAATACATTTTCAAAAAACAAGATGGCTGCCAGTCGGCCATTTTGAATCGAATTGCTAAACCACTGCATGTGCATATGTCCCACATAAAGTACTAGGCACATGCAAAGAATGAACTGAATCTGTCCACAGGATTCTGAAATATGACTCTGGACAGACTGACGCACCGACGGGCGGTCGGGGACATGTATCCTAACATGTATGATCTATGTACTAAATTTGAATGAAAACTCGCAAAGCATGTCCAAAATACAACATTTTCAAAAAACAAGATGGCTGCCAGTCGGCCATCTTTGATCCAATTGTGAAATTGTCATGGACATGTATCCTAGCATGTATGACCTATGTACCAAGTTTGAATGAAAACTGACAAAGCATGTCCAAAATACAACATTTTCAAAAAGCATGATGGCTGCCAGAAAGAATGAACAGAATCCGTCCAAGGGATTCTGAGATATGACTCCGGATGGACGCACGGAGACCGAATTATAAGTCCCCGTTTTCAGACTTCGTCCGAACGGGGACTAATAAGGCATTTAGTAAAGTTCTGTGTAGTATTTTCTTTGGATCCCGTGATGTGTTTCTATTTGTAAAAAAAATGCTTGTAATTACCGGTAAATAGTGACCTCTGTGTGGTCTTGTCATTGTTCTCAGAATCACAGGCCCTTGAATTGATGAATTGGATTATGAAAATTATATACTCAAATTTTTGTAATATATTCTTCTGTAAAATTCATTGATTCAAATGCCTGTGCTTGGTATCCAATAATCAGAAATGTTTGTTTCGATCAGTCATAAACGGACACATTTTGCGAACACGCGACACCTCTTCAGCGATCATAAAATTATTTATACATTTGATATTTCAAGACGATTTGAAGTATATCATGTCTGCAATAAGTCTCTAGTGTCGATATGTGCTCAATGAAGGGATCACTAATTTATATGGTTGCCATCTTGCACATTAGCTTGCATACTTGTTCAATTTTATAGTGGCAAAGCGAATTATTAGGTCTATTGGTGACACTTTCATCTCAGATACAGAATTGAAAAAAAAGAAGCATTATATTATTCCCAATAAATTCCCCTCAAATTAGTGAATTAGCAATATTTCTTTTGATGTCCTGAAAACTCCCACTGTGTCTGGTCATTGAATGCATCACATATCAGATGGTATGTTGTAGGGTTTTCATTATTATTCATTGATTTTTTTTCAATTTTCTTTCAAGGTTATTGGAGCTGGAAGATTTTTTTCCCTGTTTGTCCTTGTACAAGAGTATTTCTTCCAATAATTATTTCCAGGATACTAGGCTGCATTTGGTTACATGTACCAACTTGTGTCCGGGCCACACACAGTCAAACAATCTGGTATGCAATACCAGACATTTAAACACTGGAAAT